GGCAAATATTAGTCATTGTGCCATAGCGTGTGGGGTACCATGTGGTGCCCCCTGACACATGCCCATAGCAACCATGCTGTTGTAATTATGAAAAAAGTAAAACTGACCTTTCATGGGTTTGGGTGAGAAGTACAACGGGAAGAAACACTGGCAGGGTTTCGCCAGTCAGTATCCGTCGCACAGGACCATGTGGAGAACATACGAAGTCCGAAAGAGTTGGGCAGAGATATCGATCTGACAGCTGAAAAAGATTGCTCTGGTATGTTCTGCCACAACTTTCGAAGGACTACGCTTCCTTAAAGGCACAGTCCACGGTCATAGCATGGGCGGAGACATACGGCCAGTGTGCTTTCCTCTTTGGTGTGCCCCTCAGTCTCAGACTTTGAGGGGGAAGGGGCACCAGTCCGGAAGGCCCAGTGGCTGAGTGTCCATGCCCTTACGCTTGGTGTGGACTGTGCCACTTGAGACTCCATCGAAATAATGCTCAGTTCTATTGTTCCTTCAAAATTACCGGCTTTCCACAAATATTTACCGAGTTCCTCTAATAGTAAAATTAGTCGGGGGGGGGGGGGAGGCACGCGTCGGCACTACTTTACTATTTTGTTCTAACACGTCAATTTACATTTCAGTCCTGTCATGACTTTTTGAGGTCATATAATGAGAACCCCAGGCACTCGTGACGAAAGCAATGCCATCCCACTGCCCATACTATGTCCAGCATTAATTTCGAAATTTGCCTATTTTGTGCACCTGAGGGCGCAGACAAGCAGACATGACGCAGCACAGTCGCGTCGTCCCCCCCCCCCCCTTTCCCCAATTTACTTTACCCTTGCCCCTCTTTTCTTTTAGACAGCTTTATACCTACCCTGATCAACGCGACACATGTGTGTGCTGAAGAAATCGCAGTACACTGCGATCGACAGCCAGCTAAGTAGTGCAAGAATCGCGTGAAGTCCTCGGGACTACAATCTTCCTCTTCGGGACAAAACAGAAATCTTCGCCGTCCACTGCATTTCTCGAACAAATCCGATGCAAACATGCCCTGAAAAGTATACTAAAGTCTCCTACTCCGCGATCTTCGGCTAAGGAGGGGCATTCTGCACTTCTGCTAGTTCATTTTGCTAGTTCCTATTACATTACATGGCATAGCTTGGTGAGACCTGTAGACTCTTGTCAGGTGTAAACGAGGCTATTCCTATGACATAGCCTGCAAGAGTTCACAGGTATCCATAGAAGGCATCGGCAGTGATTGAGGGAAACCAGCAAAATGCCCACACCAAGCCGAATTGCCACTTATTCGTCTGAACTTCTCATAAAATATCTAAAAAATTACATGGAAGTATCTACTGCTGCCACAGATTGCTTCCATCGATACTCGTGCCAGCACCTCTCCTTCTCTGGTCTCAAAAACCAGCATCTCCATGCATTCTTCAGGGCTAGCAAGCCTAGCTTGAATGTGCATTTTGAGTAGTCGAGTGAGTGAAACTGGTGAAGCGGGGACCACCAATGAAGAAGTCACAGTGATAGGTCCAGCTCCGCCCACATGACCAGCATATAATGTGAACGACCTACTTGTCAACGTATTTCTCAACCATGCACTGCCCGCGTTCTTGTGGTCGAACTGGTAGCATCTATTTCCAAGATTTCCCTGAACTAATTCACTCAGACCACTTCAGACCCTTTCGCAGTAAGCCCTCAACTTACCGTAACCGCTGCGGTGAGATGAGTGTAGATATAGCTCCGATTATTTGAGCGCAAAGAGGAGGCTAAAAAGTCTGGTCATTTCGATGAGAAACGCCTATGCCCAAGATAACTCACCCCTCCGGTATACGTGGTTTCATGAGAGATGTCCATGAAATCCTCTCTTGACAGAAGAGTACGAATGGATTCAAAGAAGTAGATCCAGCGCTGGAAGTTGGCCTGATGTTGTACGACCAAGGCGGAAACGATCCCTCAAACAGACTCTTCATTGTTGGCAGATTTTTGAAAGTCACAATCCTCGCTGATCGAATGGGCGGAGATAACTGACCACTGTGCTTTCCTTATTTGTGCGCATCTCCTTTCAATACTGTAGAGGAGAATGAGCACCAATAAGGAACAACACTATCGTATTTGTCTCCACCACACGACCAGTGTGACTGTTCCTTCAAACTGAGGGCAGTGTTCGGTTTGGAGGAGGCATTTCGCA